GGTAACCCCACCTTGCCCAGTCCAGCCTGAGGGCGTCAACCCCAATGACCTCGCAGTTGGGAAAAGGCACCACGTATACCAGGAGACGCCTCAACCACGCCAACGCAAAGAGATCCATTTCCGGGGACCCGAACATTCGGGAAAGCCAACTGAACGAGTCAGCGTCAACCATCCATTCCATGGAAAGGGTAACAAACCGGTACAGGCCGTCTGCCAGGACATTGGACACTCCCCCCCCAAACGTGAACCGCCAGGAGATCCAAACCCTGAGAACGAATCAGACGAGTCACCTGAAGCAACCAGCCCCAAAGAGCCAAGGACCGCAGCGAACCCCTGCAGTTCAGGCAATGAACCACCGGGGAACAGTCCGAGTGGAGCCTGATCGTCGGTCCATGAGCAACCCAAATTCTCCAGAGCTACATCCACACAGCCGCGAACTCTCGCACCATGTTGTGAGCCAGACGGAAGGACGGACCGTCCCTGGCCGGCCTGGTGAGCACTGGTCACAAAGCCCCAGCCCAGAGACGACGCGTCCGTGAAAACATCGAGCGAGGACTCAGGTAGGCACCAAGGCACTGAACCCTGAAAAACCTGAAGAGGAAGCCGGCAACGCAGCAACCAACGCAAAGCCCCCGGAGTCTGAATCCAGCAGTTGTGAGAGAGGTAGAAGGGACGTCCCCAAAGGAACCAGAACAGCCGACGAAGCCACACCCGACCCAGCGGGTTGACCGTCATGGCAAAGTTCATGCTCCCGCACAAATCCTCAAGCAACCGCCGCATGACTCGGAAGCCCCTCAGGAATAGACACAGGCAAAGCAGAGCCGCCAGAGGAAGAGACAAGGAAACGATCCGAGCGTCCCACACAAGACCCAACCAAGACCGAACCCGATAGGGAACCAGATCGGACTTCCGCCAGTTCACCAAGAACCTGAACCCAGTGAGCTGGGAAAGAACCAAATCCCTGGCAAGCAGGCACGCAGACTGGCTGGGAGCCCAAACCAGTCAATCGTCAAGGTAGGCCAAAACCCGAACACCTAACAGCTGCAGGAAGGCCACCATGACCCGAGTAAAGCGTGTGGAAACGCGAGGAGCCAGATTCAAGCTGAATGGAAGGCAATGAAAGCCGTTCCCTTGAAGCACTACAACAAAACCGAGCCAGTCCCTCAACCTCGGATGAATCAGCACGTGCCAATACGCGTCCTTGAGGTCTAGGGACACCATCCAAGAGTCCGGCTCCAACAAAAGACGGACCTGGGACAGAGTAGTCATCCGAAAGGAGGGGCAATAAACCCACGGGTTCAGACGGGACAAGTACAGAATGAACCCAGAGGTCTGTGCAGTCCCGTTTCGGGACCGGAAACAGGTGGGAAACCCACCTGAGGGACAAGGTCGTTTCCACCACGCTCAAGCGAACCCACTCCAAGATGACTCGACAGAGCACAGGAGAAGAGGCCTGCCCTGCCAGTCCCAAACCCACTGAAGGAGGAGTAGCCACCCAACACCACCGCAGGTTGCACGAAACGACCCGAACGGTCCACAAATTGTGCGACCAGGCGCAAGCAAACAGAGCAAACTTCACCCTCACCACCCCATCTATGGGACGAACAGCAGAAGGACCGATGCACCTTACGAGCACCGAAATAGCACACTGGGTGATCCCTGCACTGAAAAGAAACAGATGGCATCGAAGGCTGCGCCGGCGCCAAATCTGCCGCCACTGGCATACCATGACGGGAAGAAACCCGAGTTCTGGCACGACCTTGCCAGGAAGGCTTTTAGGGGAGTTCTATCCACTTGTTCGGCTTTTGGTAGCAATTTTTTCACCAGAATAGGGGTTTGTTTTGGGATGCTTACCTTTCTGGGTGCCTGACCCGGTCGATGGCAGACATAGAATGCTTCCAACCACACGGGGGTTTCTATAGACCATTGCTCCCCATGCCTCTTCTGTGGGTACCAAGTTCTGGCTTGTGGTCCCCAGTAGGCCCATAAGAACTCCATACACATGACTGATGCCAAAGTCTGACATTAGCATATCAGCCCAGTAAGTTCCGAGAAGCCGAAGGGGCGTCCCCAAAAAACACAGTGTACTTGTGTGGGAGGATTGTGAGAATTTTGTCCCACAAATTCTAGAATTTGTTGTTACCAATGTTGGTGTGACACCCTTATTCCCCTATACTGGTGATGATATGTCTGAAATTGATTACTTTATGGCATACTGTATTTTGATCAGCAATTCATGGACCATCTCATTGCAGAGATGAACCGATATGCTCTGGAACTCATTGACTCTGGAATTTTACCTGCCTCCCGATTGACACGTTATAAGATAGGACTACTGAGGAAACGTATGTGTTTTTAGCGTTGTGCTTGATGATGAGGCATGCAAATAAACACGTGATCCAGGATTATTGGAACAAAGACAGCTTTGTTCCAACCCTCTTGTTCAACAGGTACATGTCACGTGATAGGTTCCTGCTGCTTCTCAGGTGCCTGCACTTTGAGAACAATGCAAATGAAGACAGACACGACAGACTGTGGAAAGTGCGGAAAATATTTAGTAAAGTGAAAGGAAAGTTCCATGACTATTTTGTACCAGCACAGAATGTCATGGCCGATGAAATGCTAGTTCTCTTCAAGGGACGACTGGCGTTCAAGCAGTATATACCATCAAAGCGGCACAGGTTAGGACTAAAGTTCTTCGTGTTATATGACTGAAAAACTTACATGCTCATGGACATGATATTGTATTCAGGTACAGATGTTGACATACCAGGTCAAGATCCACATTGGTTCTCAGGCAGTGTCGTGAAAACACTCATGGAACCATTGCTGAACACGGGGCATAACCTGTACACGGACAACTACTATACCAGCCCCTTGCTGACCAGATTCCTCCTTGACCACCACACCGGCATATGTGGCACTGTCAAGGCCCACAGGAGGGAAATGTCAGTGTTTGGCATTGGTATTGCAGTGGGTGAATGCCAGCTGAGAAAGTGTGATAAAATGTTAAACGTGCGCTGGAGGGACAGACGCAAGGTGAATATGTTGACAACTATTCACACCGGTGCAATGTTAGACAGTGGCAAAATGAACTTTGCAACATGTTTGCCAATGAATAAACCTGATTGTGAATAAACCTGATTTTATCATTGACTACAATGAAAATATGCAGTTAGTAGATAAATGTGACATGGTGGTTGGTGCCATCGAGTGCGTGCAAAAATCTGTGAAGTGGACAAAGAAATTGTTTTTCCACCTTGTTGACATTGCAGTGCTAAATTGTTTCAATACGTATCTCGTGAAGTATGGCAAGAGCCACCAATCCGTATATTCAGTGTTGAATGTACGAACGAATCTGTATTCATTCAGTGTAAGTGGAGGGCAGTGTTGTGATGCGTGGGGTGCCAGCAGCAATGCCCCAATGCAGTTCCTGACAGACTCAGGGGTAAAGAACACTTTGCTGTACACAAGCTTGGTTATATGCCAAGCACAGACACACGGGAAAAAGGTAAATGTGCCTGCGTTGTTTGCAAGAATACACAACGTAGGGAACAGAGGTGATTATCCATCTACACTTGGTGCGTTGAGTGCAAAGTTGCCTTGTGGCCCATTGACTGCTTCACTGATTATCACACACTAGCGCAGTTCTAAGTGTGTATTGATAGTGATGTATATAGTCTGTGATAGTGTACAGTTTGTGTAAATAAGTTGTATATATAAATAATTGAACATTTAATATAGAAATTATAAACAAAGTTTGTGGACACATTTGTGATACCTGTACAAGTAACACAGTTTCTTTGAACAGTATGTATGGTCTACTGCCTGAATATAGTAGCACCTCGATTAACGAGTTTAATCCGTTCTGGCACCGAGCTCGTTATGTGGAAAACTCGTCTTAAGAAACAAATTTCCCCATTTAAAATAAAGGAAATAAATTTAATCTGTTCCACTCCCAAAAACATCCATACTTGTATGACATTTTATAATGTAAATATAATACTGCACATGTAATTATAAATGTTTTGTTGTACTGTTTTCATGTTTACTTTACCTTATGAAAAGTCGTTGCTGGCTTGAGGGAGACGATGGGGAGGTGGGAAGGAGGAGAGGGGTTATGGTGTGGAAGGAGAATCCACCTCTGAGTCAGGTGGCCTCTCTTCTTGGGAGTTTCACCCCACTGGGACTGGGTTGTGGTTCACTACCACTTGCTGGTCTTTTCTCTACTTTTGCAAAGAACGTTTCTATTGACAATTGCTTTTGTCTTTGTTTTAGGATGTCCCTAAAACAAGACAGCAAATTGTCATTAAACATGTTCACACACCGGGTTGTTACTGCTTTATCAGGGCAACTTTTCCAAGAATGCTGTCACCTTTTCAAACATTCCCAACACTTCCCTGATCTCACTGGAAGAGGCAGCATCCTCCCTTACCTCCTCATCCCCTTACTAATGGTGCAAATTGTTGATGAGGCCCTGCCATACTCCCTTGTGAGATCAGTCACACCGACACCACGCTCATGCTTTGCTATAATTTCCTTCTTCAAATCCACAGTAATTGTGTCTTTCTTCCTCTTGACAACACTATCTTTAGCAAGCAGCTTCTTTGGCGACATTGTGCGTTACAAATTGTAGTCACAAAACCACAAAAAGCGCAAATAAAAGCAGAGGGATGCTTGTTGTGCGCGATACAGCAACAACACTGGCGTCAGAAACATCCAAGAATTTGCGAGAACCCGTGGGGTGCTAGGAAGCACCATGTGGTTTTGCTCATTAACAGAGGTGAAGCTCATCAATAGAGACAAATTTGCTGTGAGTGGCTCGCTCGTTACTCGAAATGCTCGTAGATAGAGCCGCTCGTTAATCGAGGTACCACTATATTGTAAACCTGTTCAATATACATAGGATTAGCCAGAAAAAACAAAAGAAATACATTTGTAATTGTAACTCACATAAAAGAAATCAACTGATACTCTTTACAAAGAATCAGAAAACTTACCTTTGCAAGGTCTAGCTGTCGCACTTTAGCAGACACGTTGTTAGCCAAATGATGTGTGAATGATATTGTGTTTTCCAGTTGGCGTGCATCAGCCTGGACTAGCTGGAGGGTAGGAACCAAGCGTGCTAACTGAGAGAGGCGAGCTTCCAGGTGATGTCGATTGCCAACACTCCATTCTAAACGTTCAACAACAGCTGCCTGTTGGTTACGTACAAAAGTAGTAAAGATTACAGTACTGCACTTTAAACTGTCACCCAAATTTTAAATTTCTGTACATGCTATATTGTCCAGTGAAAGTAAAAAAAAAAACAGCATTGAATTTAATGAAACGCCATTTTCTGTGAAAGACCCAGAGGCTCCCCGGAGCTATCCAGGCTGATATGTAACTATTAGCTTTCTGGCACTCGTCAAAGTGCATGGAGTTCTTGCCTACCAGGGACCACAAACCAGAACCTGGCCCCCTCAGAAAGGCATGAGAAGCATTAGCCTATAGAAACCCAAATGTGGTTGGGAGCATTCTATGTCTGCCATCGACCGGGTCTGGCACCCACCCTCAAAACAAACCCCCTTTCCGGTGAAAACATTGCTACCGAAAGTCGAACGAGTGAATGGAACTCCCCAAATTAAAATTAGCAATTGGGCATGACGTCATCACGTTGCCGTGCCTCTGTCTATGCAACCCTCTCTCCTTGGGACAGGGAAAGGAAGAACCCCAGACCCTCGTCCCGGCAATCCAACCGGCAGTCCTCAGGCTGGATGTCAAAAAACCAGCGTTGAATGTAATGAAACGCCATTTTCTGGGTGAGACCCGGAGGCTCCCCGGAGCTTTACCGGCTGATATGCTAATGTCAGACTTTGGCATCAGTTATGTGTATGGAGTTCTAGGGCCTACCGGGGACCACGAGCCAGAACCTGGCCCCCTCAGAGAGGCAAGGGGAGCAATGGCCTATAGAAACCCCCGTGTGGTTGGAAGCATTCTATGTCTGCCATCGACCGGGTCAAGCATCCAGAAAGTTAAGCATTCCAAAACAAACCCCTATTCTGGTGAAAATTGCTACCTAAGCCGAACTAGTGAATAGAACTCTTCAACAGAAAACACGGAAACTAGTATGACGTCATACGTCACCGCGCCGCTGTCTGCGCAGCTCCCCCCTCCCCGGGAGGGGGAAGGGGGAGCCCCAGACCTCCCACGCCGGCTATCCACCCATCAGTTCTGAGGCTGGATGTCAAAACACGCGAAAAACGCCGACCGGAGGGAGGGAGGGTTGCCGGGGAGCCTCCGGGTCTCACCCAGAAAATGGCGTTTCATTACATTCAACGCTGGTTTTCTGGGGGGAGCCCCGTCGGCTCCCCGGAGCTAACTACCCACAGAGGAAGGTCAAAGGGACAAAACCGGGAGGCGGACACCACGCACCCCCCAAAGAGGCGAGACAACCGGCAGCAAACGCCAACCCAAGGCGCCACAGCCCCGAAAATCCCGGGAACAACACGAGAACCACGAGCAGCAAGGCCCCTGCACGAACACCAAAAATCCATGCCCGAAAGACTGCAAGGCCACGTCGCCCAGACGGCAGCGAGAGCAGCGAAGCCACGAACGCCACAGGCATGAGGGAAGAACACAGGCAGCTTAGCCGCAAGAACACGGCTGACCACCCGGGACACCATCACCCGCGAACCGGGAAGAACAGAACCGGATCAACGCAAAACGCGCTCCGGACCCAAACGCCGTGGCACGCAAACAACAGCAGAGGGCCGCCACTGAACACAAAAACGACACACCCCCGGCCCGACCAACAAAGCACCAACAAACCCTGGACCCCTCCAGAATGCAGCAGCCCCACCCCCCGCCAGAAAAGATGGAGACTGCTGCCATCAAACAACCAAAACGCTAAAACCGAAGGAGCAAGAAAACACAGCGAACCGACCCCCAGAGGCAAAGGCCCAAAGGAAAGAGCCGACGAAAAAACACACCGGAACCGAAGGGGCACTACCAACCGAGGAGAAGACAGAGCACGCTGACCAGAGACCAGGATGGTGCAAGCGGCGCACGAACAGGCCGGAGGTGAAATGACGCACAAGACAGCTGACTAACGGTGCAGAAGCAACACCAAGACCGAAAGCAAGCTGAAGCGGCTCCGCCTGCGCCGCACGAAAAGAGGCGACAGTATGTGGCAAGACGACGGCCCCCAACCCCTACTAGAAAACCAAGCCGAGAGTAAACCAAGCCAACAAGAAGGACCCACCGAAGAAGGGACAGGAAAAGGAAGGACCGCCAAAATACCCCATACTGCCGCCAAGAAAGCACGCAGGTGGGACACCTACCACGAAGCCACCTGACCACCAACCGGAGGCGAGACCACGAGGCAGAACATAAGCAGCCCCGACAAGGCCCCCCCCGAGCCCAGGAAAAAGGCGGAGCCGCGAGAAGATCTCGGGCGCGACCACCGAAACCCAGGCGGCACAAGGAGATGGAACGTCTGCCGAACAGAAAAACTCCGAAGCATGCAAGCCCGCCAGGAGTTCAGAAACGACGGGTCCGACGCGAGACATCGCAAGAACCCCCCCAAAAAAAGTAAAACAACAACAACCGGCAGGGCAAGCTAGGAAAACCAAAGAAGGCGGAAGGGTCGCCGCCAGAACAGGACCCGAACCAAGGGGCACGAACAACTGCAACAGACCGAGACAAAGAAGCACATCACAGGACACAGGCTGACCAACGCCTAAGAACACACGCAGAACATTCCTGCTGCAGAAGAGGCAGGAAGAAAGAGCAGAAGCACAAAAAAAAAAAAAAAAAACCAGGAGAACAACCAGGGGTGGACAATCAGGCAGGGACAAAAACCCCACGCAATCCCCAGGCACAAAACGGCAGCAAAGCGCCACTCCACAACCGGACACAGGAACAAGGACACGCCACCGTGAAACACGGTACCAATGCTCACGTGCAGCAGCAGCAGCAACAGGCACCACTGCAACATGCAACATGTAAATAGCAACTCCCCTCTGCAAAGGCAGAGAACGGAGCAGGCAGACCCCAGACAGGGCCAACGGAGACACGACAAAACCCTGCAGGCCCAGAAACCTGCACCAGGCGACCGACGGCGGAGAAAACCCCGCTCGATACCTGCTGGATGAGGTACTGGGAGCTCTTTTACACCTCAAGCCCGGCCCAAGGTCAGGCCAGACCGGCCAGAGGATGGCCCACCAGGCAGCTGCTAGGAGCAGTCCACCGGTCCACATACCCCCACAACCAGGACGGGCCGGAACTGCCATACGAAAACAGGCCAGTGCGCCCTGGAAGTCCACGGACGAACCAGCAAGAAGGCTTATGCTCGCAAGTAGGTCGTGTAACAAGCACAGACCACTGATGGTAATACAGTGTTCCCCAAAAGTGCCAATAGCACCACTGCACTCCGCTGGTACTATCCCGCAAGTTCTACCAGATAGGCGGGACCCAAGAGCCAGAGCTCAAATCCTGCAAGCACAGCCAGGAGCCTCACCAGGTGAGTACAGAACCAACCCTACAACCCCCACACCTCACAACATTAAAAAAGGAGGGTCCCCTGAATGACTCCAGCATGGGTTGGACATGCACATGAGGGGGACAGGAAGGGGTGATAAAGGGACAGTCACTGGTGTGCGAACGGTCTCAGTCGTACAAAATTATACCTAAATAAAAACAGGTATATGAACACCGCCGCATCCAGCGCCCGGCCAAAAGACGCCAGACCGCAGAAACTCACCTGGCGAATGGTGGCTCGAACTTGACACGACTCAACCGTGCCCAGAAGAACTTGGGAGCACCGCCAGGTGAAGACGCCAGAGCCGGACCCGCAGGAGAACAGGGAGAGGCGAAGGAGGCGGTCCACACCCATGACACAGAAAACCGCGGTGTCCTCCCCACAACTGGGAACCAGGACACCCCTGGTGCAAAGGGGCACATACCGCAGCCAGGGAGAAGAACGAGAGGCGAAGCACTGTAGCAAAAAAGGGCGCAAAACCCCAGCACTGAACCACCGCCCAGACCAAAACAAACTCCACGGCGCATGCGCATAACACGCTGGCCGAACCGCACACCCTCCCTGCGGGAAGGCGCCAGCCAGGACTATTGCACGAGAAAAGGAGCCAAAAGAGGAAGCAGGAACAATAAAACCGGCCAAAGAAGCAAAGAGCCCAAAAAAAAAAAAAAGGGAACCCAAACGGGCGACAAGTAGCCCAAACGGGCGACAAGTAGCCCAAACGGGCGACAAGTAGCCCAACCGGGCGACAAGGAGCCCAACCGGGCGACAAGGAGCCCAACCGGGCGACAAGTAGCCCAACAGGGCGACAAGTAGCCCAACAGGGCGACAAGTACTAGGAGCCGACAGACGTTCCAATAATGCGGGAAGTAGCGAAAAACCTTCCCGTACCCTCGAGAACACAGAAGCCAACACTAGTCCCGAAGGCACACGAAGGCGCAGGCGCACCCGAGATCAAAAGTCACGCAGAACCCCAACGAACGGGGAAACATGACAAAAACACCGTCCCAAAAAGCGGGGGAGGAAACGTCCACCCACAGGACGGAACCAACCGACTCAAAGGCCAAGGAACCGAGCCCGGGGAGGGGCCGACGTCCAACAGCACGTACGGCGAGTGGGGAGGAAAGACCCCACTCCGCGTAACCACAAGCCCCGCCTAGAGGGGGATAAAACCCCCCACGGGGTCTAACGGGGCCAAGGCCCCCCCAAGGCAGCCCCTCCCCAGCCCCGGGAACCTACACGACAGGCCCCGGGGCCGAGCCGTTCCCCCAAAGCCCCGGCCGTACCAGAAAACCGGGGCAGCCGTGAAAACACTAAGGAAGGGAGCCCACTGGCAGACTCATACAACACGGCTGGAGGAACAGGCCCAAATGCCCCCGTCACTACCCCGGAAGGGGAATTCCCCGAGACTGCCCGAGTCTCAACACCACGAAACACCCCGCCCTGAACCTACAGACGGTAAGGAACCGGATGCAGGCAGGAAGGGTGAACCAGGGGAAAGACAAGGGGGCGTGGATGCAACCAACACCCCCAAGCTCCCAAAACGAAATACAACGGGGCAGCCCCGGGGCTCCCGGGGAGGAAACCACGAGAACGTTGCCACCACCAAGGCTCAAGTGCAACGCCCCTGCTGCCCGCACCCGCTTTGTTAGCACAACTGGGTAACCGAGCCACAACGAG